CCGCACCACGCTCAGCCAGTGAGCGGGAACCGGTCTCCACATGGGATCCGAACCCTCGGCGGGAGCGCCACCACACTCCCAAGCGGCGCACTCTCCAGTGCGCCACCGGGCTGGCCCTGGTTCCTACTTTTCAAAAGCCTACTATTTAAAATATTTTTAGTTGTCCTTTTTTTCCTTCTCATAGCAAATGTAACTTCTGTTTAGAATCTAATTTGTGGTGGGAAGTTGGGAGGATAAATAAACAAAAATGACTGTAAGGATATAGTGTCTGGTCCTTCTTCAGTTTTTTTAAAACCTTTTTATAGTGACTACCTACTTAATGTGGTTATTGTGTCTGTCTTATTTCTGGAATTGTTCTTGATATAGTTTTCTTGGCTCCTATAGGTTTTAATTATGACTGTAAAAAATGCCACAAGAGTCTATTTCTGTTCTCTTGACCCTAAGGAGCCAGTTTAGTGACAGTTCAGGTGACAAGAAATTGGAGTGATGCTCACTCTCCTTGTTGGTATAGGTTGATGACCCAAGCTTGCCCAATGATGAAGGAATCACTGCTCTTCACAATGCTGTGTGCGCAGGCCACACAGAAATCGTGAAGTTCCTGGTACAGTTTGGTGTGAATGTAAATGCTGCTGATAGTGATGGATGGTAAGATTTTCTTTTTTAAACGCCAGTCAGACTTCAGTTGTGGGGTATCTGTTATGATTAAGCAATGTTGTAGTGCTGTTGGAAAGCAAAAAACTGTGAGGGTACTTCAAAAAGAAGTACTTCAAAAAGAAGTACTTCATGGAAAAATTGAAATAAAAGATAATTTTGATCCTTCCATGAACTTTTGAAGACCCCTCGTATGTGAGTATATGTCTTCAAGCTGCCTGTAATCTAGCTGGGGACACGTGGCATCTGTTTTTGGGGATTCACGTGTCTTCATGTAGCAGTCTTCTCACTCTCATGCTGGAAGTAAATGGAGTTGTTCAAAGTTTAGTAGTTAAATGATAATAAACATAAGAAATGTCACAGAGTGGTACACAGTTAATTAGTATGCTTAAGCAAATTTGAGAAAGGCTGATTTAAGCAAGGTCTCCCCAGCCCCCTGAAACTTCTCAGTCTTTAAAATACTACTATGCATTCCGCATCTCCAAGGGGGATTGTAATTTGTGACTTTTTCTAAATATATTTGACCATGGAATCCATTTTTCATGGAACATTTTTTGGAACTAGTGTGTGCACAAAACACAGAAGATACTACTATAAATGATGAATGTTATAGTTTGCAGGATAATACAAATGTTAGTCGACATTATATGATGATAATATAGGTCCTCTTATGGAAGCGCCTTGCCTTGACTGAGATGCATTGGCCTAGGGACTACTTCAGTGGATATCCAAGGTGACAGTTTCGCTTGTTCTGGGCTGAACCTATAGTATAGAAGTATGTCTATTTTATTACCTTGAATATTTGATATTTTTCACCGGGAGGTTTGAAGCTTAGAAAAATGAGAATGTGCCATGCATAAAGCAAAGGATTCCAGGCTCCAGAAAGAAAAAAAAAAAAGTGCTCACCTTGACTTCAATGCAGTCGAATCACCTCTGTGAATCGCCTCTGTCATTCAATGAGCAACCAACTGATGCAGGAGGCCCATAGTCTTTGTTTTTTGTTTTTTTTCCTTTTTGTCTTTTTTCGTGACTGGTAACGGGATCGCAACCCTCGGCGTTGCGCCCACACCGCGCTCAACCAGTGAGCGGACTGGTCTCTATATGGGATCCGAACCCTTGGCGGGAGTGCCGCCGCACTCCCAAGCGCCGCATTCTACTGAGTGCGCCACCGGGCCGGCCCCATAGTCTTTGTTTTTAAAGGCGGTTTTATTTCTCCTTCCCCCATATAATCACTTTTTAATCTGAAAATGAAGGCTCCATTATCAGCACTAAAACTTTATTGTTTATTGCCTCTGGTACATATGATTGGGTCAGATTGGTTGTGTTCTGTCTCTTGTGTTGCCATGTTACTATGCCTCAAGAACCAAGTTTGCTTTTGCCGCAGCGAAGGGGTCGGTCTCATCCCCCCACCAGCAGGGAGACTTGCTTCAGCTGAAAAGAGTGTTGGGTACATTGTAAATAAAGGGCTTATTTGTTTCAATTATGTACCCTCGGCGGGAGTGCCGCCGCACTCCCAAGCGCCGCATTCTACTGAGTGCGCCACCGGGCCGGCCCCATAGTCTTTGTTTTTAAAGGCGGTTTTATTTCTCCTTCCCCCATATAATCACTTTTTAATCTGAAAATGAAGGCTCCATTATCAGCACTAAAACTTTATTGTTTATTGCCTCTGGTACATATGATTGGGTCAGATTGGTTCTGTTCTGTCTCTTGTGTTGCCATGTTACTATGCCTCAAGAACCAAGTTTGCTTTTGCCGCAGCGAAGGGGTCGGTCTCATCCCCCCACCAGCAGGGAGACTTGCTTCAGCTGAAAAGAGTGTTGGGTACATTGTAAATAAAGGGCTTATTTGTTTCAATTATGTCTCTGCAAAATTTTCTTCAAAGCAACAGATCCTAGGGGCACACAAAGCACCCAAAGGCTTTTCCTTGGAAAAGCTCTTACCTAAAGATAAAGTGAATCCACAAACTGAAGGTACCTTTTTTATCACCCCGTGGGGGCAGTGTACAGAGAGAGCTGTGTGTATACATATATTCACACCCACCAAATTGTTACCATAGTGGGTGGTGTTTTCATACAAATGTAAATTGAGAGAAAAGTCAAAGGTGCTTCAGCCTTGTACTGTGAAAGTATAAAAAAGACAAAGTTTTGTATGTTTTTATTACTTTAATTATTGTTATAAAAAGCCTGTCATTTTTAATATGTGGTTTGTGGGATTTTTGTTTGTTTTTCCTGTTTGGGAGTTTTGTTTGTTTTTTGTTTTTCTGAGCCAAAAAAAAAAAAAAAAACACTTGCTTTTAGTGTTTGTACTGTTGCTGGTCAGGACATTAAAATATTAAATTATTTTTTAAAATTAATGGGCCGGCCCAGTGGTGCACTCGGTAGAGTGCGGCGCTTGGGAGCGCGGCGGTGCTCCCGCCGAGGGTTAGGATCCCATATAGAGACCGGTCGGCTCACTGGTTGAGCGCGGTGTGGGCGCGACACCAAGGGTTGCGATCCCATTACCGGTCACGAAAAAAGACAAAAAGGAGAAAGAACAAAAAAAATAAAATAAAATAAAATTAAGAAGAAAGGGCCGAGCCCATGGCGCACTCGGGAGAGCGCGGCGCTGGGAGCGCAGCACGCTCCCACCGCAGGTTCGGATCCTATATAGGGATGACCGGTGCGCTCACATTGCTCACTGGCTGAGCGCTGTGTGGCTGGTCTCAAAAAGGACAAAAAAAAAAAAGAAGAAAAAGTAAAAGAGCTTAAAAAAGGTCCTAATAAGGTATTGTCACCCCAATAACAGAATGTATAGTAAATTTTGTATTTTATTTTTAATAATAGGAGAAAGTTTAAAATTATAATGTGTTCTTTTTGTGAAAGTCTACAAAAAGTTGCCTTTTCTATGTAGGATTGACAAAAGTTATAATCATCACACTATATTTATTCTAGTATTTTAATTTTATAGCCTGTTTTTCTCTTAATATGGGAAATAGTTATGATATAATATCAAATTCTTATGTATACATATATAAGTTGAATACACACATATCCTTAAATTTAAATTAGCCTCATATTATTCGACTGTGTGCTCATTTGTGCTCATTTGTTGTTACCCTCTTGTTAGACATTTAGATTGTTTTGCATTATTTTTTTGTTATAAATAATGCTTGGAGAAGCATTTTTGTTGCAGATAAAAATTTTTTATATTAATAGAGGGCTGGCCGGTTAGGTCAATTGGTTAAGAGCACAGCCTTATAACTCCAGGGCCATGGGTTCAGTTCCCCATACTGGCCAGCCACCAAAAAAAAATTTATATTTATAAAAATGATATGTACCCACTGTGGAAGACATACAATATAGAGAAATAAGAAGAGGAAAACAAGCCATCCGTACCTCCACAATCTAGATGTAAACATCAGTAATATTTTAGTATATTTCCTTTAAGTTTTTTTTGTATGCTAACCTTATTTTATAAATATAGATATAATTTTTTAGCCTGTTTGGTTTAACATTATAGCATAAACAGAACAAATTCTTAATGTGTCATAATATCCTTTTCGCCTAATATTGGAGTTTAGGTTGTATATAATTTTTCATTATTCAGAATCTGCAGTAAAAAAAACTGTAGTAATATTCACCAGACTATTAATAATAGTGTTCTGGAATAGGAGATGGGGAGTTTAAAAATTAAAGAAAAAAAATAGTGTGTAGGGCCGGCCCGGTGGTGCACTGCGCTGGTGCGCCGCTTGGGAGGCGCGGAGGCGCTCCCACCGAGGGTTCGGATCCCACATACAGACCGGTTCCCGCTCACTGGCTGGGCGAGGCGCGGGGGCAACGCCGAGGGTTGCGATCCTGTTGCCGGTCCCGGTCCGGTACGGGGGCGACACTGAGGGTTGCTATCCGTTGCCGGACACGGAAAAAAAAAAGAGACAAAAAAAAAAAACAATAAAAAGTAACAGTAGTGAGGGACTTGAGGTTCGTGATTCTCACCTGGAGCCTAAAAACAGGCAGAAAGACAGAAGGGAGTGGTTAAACAAAGAAGGCAAGCCTTTAACCTCAGAGGTCTTCCAATCAGCTGGTCAAGGAGTTTCTGAGAACCTGAGCAATATGGACTCCTGGGACCTCCTCATTTGCCTCTGTCTTCCCCCCTCCCCAATTTCTCTCAAGACAAACTGGAGAGAAAAATTAACTTCTAAGTCATGTAAATAAAAAAAGTTTCCTTGCAAGTAAAAATGCCAGCCAACACAAATCCATATAAAACTTCAAGTCCTTT